AGAATTACCTTCAGTCCCAATCTTTCAAATGTCTCCCTTGCACTGCAAATTATTACAACTGGAAACCACATCACAGGCCAGCTTGAAACAAAGACTGGGACAATACTATAAGTAATAAATAAAAGAGACTATATGAGACCTTCCCAGTAGGACCAGAACTCATCTAAAGCAACATTTTTAAAGGACACCACTTTGGTTTTACTCCAATTGCTAATTAAGATTGAACCGGTGGACATGTAGCTACACTTCTTATTCCGCTCCCTGCACAGAAGTATCTTCACCGAGGCTGTTTGTGTAACTGAATCTCCATTGTTAAAGAACCCACCTAACCCACCTTGGTATAGAAACTCACGTACCAATTGTCAGGCCCTTTCAACAAAGGGTTTCCCACAAACGCATTGCTTTACTTCTTGAATTTCTAAGACAAGAACAAACATACATTCAACAAACTAGGAAAATTCAGCCTCGCCAAAATATTTTCAATATTTCTGATATTTAAAAGGTTACACTACAAACTCCAGTAGTGCATTTTATTTCATACTACTTCCTTTACCCAATACTTGACTAAGGATTTTATCCTCAAACAGTAACATTACACAACATACTTTCCAACAAGAAGTGCACCTGTCTTTTCCGAGTACTGACTTGGCAAGGAAACATTCTGGCTGATGAGATCAAATTTAGCAAACTCTTTAACTCTTGTTTCCTTGTAAAAACATGTTCCTTCCATAATGATTTAAGTATCAGCTTCTAAAGGCTCCTTCTCAGCAGGATAAACCCCCAACAAACAAAGACATGTGCAAGCAAGCACATCAGACTGTCCTTCTGAACTATCCGCTCAATTCTTTCCAGCCACAGGGGGTTTGCTATTTACTAGAGCCCTGGTTTCCGAATAGCTCCAAGAAGAAGACTCCTGTCAGTTTTAATCCTGTAGTGATTTACAAGAAAAGAACTGACAGAAAGAACTACACAACTGTGTTATTAGCATTTAATACACACAGTGTTAACCACCTAGGTTCCTTACTAGTGCATTCAAAACTGCTACTATTTCACTATTCTCTCTCTCTCAATACATAATAAAATCAAATTCCTTAGAAAACAGAACCTTTTAAGAAAGATGTGTTTTTACAAGTGTAATAAACCAAAGTACATGATAAATTAATACTGAACAAAAAACCAGGCCAGGGTTCACAGAAAACTCCAAGTGCCCAAGCTGACACAGCTGAATAGGACTATTTTTCAAGAAGCAGCTGACTCAGCATTTTACAAAATATAGATCACATACAAGCACCTAGAATTAGCCTTCAAAAAACCAAAGCCCTAGAATTATGTCTTTCATGAACTCACTGTCTTTAAGACATAATAAATTACAGACTATTCAATCCTTTTAAAAAGTAAATAATTCACACTGCAAAGTAAACAGGTAACAGAGACTGCTTCTGACAATGCTCAAAATTAAATGTCAAAAGATGTATTTTATGCCATTCATCAAACTGTTTGAATAATTCTTTGCTTATATGAAGAGTGATGGCAGTGAAACAAGTGGAATTCCCTATTAATTTTCTGCAGGCAAGATGCAGTACAATTCTGTTGTAAAACCTGCTTTCAACTTCTCTGTCTAAAAAAGCTCATGTCTTTAAAACATCAGTTTATTAAAGGGCAAAGAACTGTGGTATCTTCTTCTGTCTCTATTCAGAATTTTACAAAACCTTTTAAATGGGAAGATTTATCTCAAGACTCTAACCTAGTACTTCTAGATTACTGAAAACAAATGTTTAAGCAGTTTAATCCATAAGAAAATAATGAAAAAACTGAACTACTATTAAAAACATTCATCAGTAAAAATTACACCAGAATGGTGTAGTTATCTGCAACCTCATTTCTACAGATATGTGTTTACTGCCAATACATTCATAAGTAGCAGTAATTTTCTATTTGTTTTACTTAGAAGAAAAAGCCTAATACAGTGATTCACCGAGACCACAATTGTTTTAGAAAAAAAGCCTGAATCATTTATATCTCAAAGCCTATACTAGTAGGCAATATGCTGTGGCATAAACAAAGCTCCTTCAAGAATCCTCTTAAGAAAAATAGTCTTAAATTTAAGAGCAAACATAACCATGAGCATGAACATACATGAAAATGTTTATACACTAGTGGTGAATGTATTTTAATAACATACAACCAACATGCTAAAACAGAAGGTACAACAGTGGAAATAGGAGATATAAAAAGGGAGAAGAGAAATATTCAGTATTTATAAAGTTACCCATTTTACGATGCTTATTAGTGACATCTTTAGAAGCAAAACTCAATAAACCATTTCTGTATTGCAACTAGTATATAAGCAGTAAAGAACGAACTAGTATATAAGCAGTAAAGAAGTATCTGTCCCACCATTCTAACAAAGGTGACAACTATTTCCAGTTAAAACAGTACTTTGTAAACTTCTTGTGATCTTCAAGACATTAGAACGGTACAAGGTTAAATAATGACTGGGGCTTGTGATGAAAAGAACAAACCCAGCAATGAAGCCCAAAATAAAGGTCCAGTGGAAAAGGCATAGAAGTAGGTAGAGAGGATTGAGTGGTCTATATCAGCATATCAGTTTGATGATCTCCATTTCCCAGACTTTGGTTTGCACCCCAGATTGGTTTTATAGCAGGCAAACCAGATTCTTCTCAAACTAAACTAAACTAGAAGACCGTGCTTTCAGAGCACACCTGATGCATTATAATTGCTAATGGAGGTGCCCTCCATGGGACCAGACTAGTGCAAGTCCAAAGACACACCTCTTAAAGCATGTATAAGATGAATTTAAGGTCCTCTGCACCAAATCATTCCTTTACAAATCTACTTGCACTGCACTGTATTCTTGCTAATGTAGACATGACCCGTTCTCATTAAGAGTAATAGACAGCAAGTTACATATGAAAAGATGGTCAGAACATTAGAAAGAAGAGTTAATTTACATCAGGTACTCATAGTCCCAGTACACCTTTTGGAAGACCATAAGCTGGTGATGCTATGCAAAAATAAGGAGGATGTGGCAGATGTAAAAAAACCTATGAGCACAGACAAAGCATTATATGAAAAGTTGAAAAGACAAACGTTTTAGCACACAGTATTTATTAATTTATGGTTTGGTTATAAAATATTAGCTAGAATTAACAATTTAACAAATATTCTAATTAGGACAAATATGTTTGTTAAACAACCTGAAAGACTATCTACCCATAGCATTTTTATTTTTTAACACCTGTTTGAGTCAGTCTATAGTCTGGAGAGGAAAAAAAAATTATAAAAAAAAGTTACTTCTGGAACTAAGTGAGTAGTCCTAGACTGAAAGCCTAGTGCATAGCTAGATAGTGCACATCACTGCGAAAAGGATTTGCTCAGACATGTCTCTTCATTTCCTGCTCTAGATCAGGATAGAGAAAGAAGTTCATTCAGAGTTTAATGGGGAAAACATGGCTGACTTTACAGGTGATATCACTTAATCAATGTGCTGCAATGTAGAATTATAAATTATTCTCATACAAGTCAATATATACAAAATTCAGCCACTCTGCTTGCTTAACAGATGCAGTACGTTGCAACAGGCTCTAAGAAAAAAATATCTTGCTTGGTTTCTTTCCAAACAGCTGGTGAATCAAAGAACAGTTTCTCAACAATGTTTCATATATTACAGAATTGTCTAAAATAGCACCCACAGTACACTCATATAAAATTTTTTCTGTGCATTCCAGTGATTACACAAATATTAAGATGTCTGTGACTGCTCTTTATTTCTAATTCTTTAGGACAATGGTGCTGCTTTACCAGTCACTCTCAGAGCTGCATTCATTGTAAATATATTTATACCAGAGTCTTTCAGCTGGTACTAATATTATTTAACTTTTAGCTGTTGCGTATATAGAGAATGCATATAAAAAACTATGTCCATGTTAAAATCTCTTTAAAAAAAACAACAACAACCCACCCTCAATGGAAACTTTCAAGCAACATAACATGGAAAAATTACACAACGATTTTTCCTAAGTAGGAAGTCAGACAAAATATAATTGTACAGCATTGCTCTTGCGATATAACCAGAAGTGCCTGTTCCGAAACTGAAGTTTCCTCAACTAACGCTATTTAACACACTTTTTGGTTTTTTTCACAAGGAATCACGAGAAGGGAGATGAGTCAGCACAAGTCTTATGTCCTTCCTCACCCACTACATCTGTTCATGAACTGTGAAGTGACACGTTCAACTGCCTTTTTTTTTTTTTTTCCTTCTTTTTCTCCCCTTCCTACAAATCTCTCTCCACCCCTAAATACCGGCAAAGACACACAGCTCAGACGGAAGTCTTAGGGGAAAAAAAAAAAAAGAAAAAAAAAGATCGTTTCTCTTCCCTAAAGGGTGAAAACATTAGACAAATAGAAGCCGGGACATCGCTACCTCGCAGCCGAGGCAGACTGCTGACCGCCGCTGCCCGCTCCGCTCCTCACACACGCCCTCGGGCACAGCCGGTGAAGCAGAAGGAAAGCTCCCGGCAAGGAGGGGGCTACCGAGCCCGCCCGCCGCCGCCCTCCGCGGCTACCTGCCAGGCCGCGCCGAGCCCCGCTGAGCCGCCGCCCGTCCGCGGCCTCTTGGCCCCAGCGAGTGGCGCCGGTGCCCGCCAGCCCTGCGCGGGGCAGGGATCCGCTACCTGCGGTGGGGTAGCCCGCCCTCCCCTCCCCCCCGGGAACCGGCAGCACCTCCCGCCCCTTCCTGCGGCCACCATTTTTGTTAAGGGAACGGTTTGGCGCCCACACTCCGAGTGCCGCCGCTTTGAGGCGGGGAAGAAGAGGCCACGTCTCTCAGGCTAGAAAGCCAGCGGAGCCGGCGGGACGCTTCGCGTCACCAAAGAGCCCCCACCCCCCACAAAATAAATAAAGAAAGAAAGAAAGAAAGCAAGCAAACATCGCCCCGAGCAGCGCCGCCGCCCTCGCCCGGGGGCAGCGGAGTTCCCCACCTCACAGTGGGCACGGAAGCGACACACACCGGTAACGCCACAGAAACGAGGGAACCAAGATGGCAGCCACCCGCCGGCGGACTACACCTCCCAGCAGCCCGCGCAGGGCCGGCGAGCGGCGGACACTACCTTTCCCGAGAGCCAACGGTGGCCGGGCTCCCCGCTGCGCAGGGCCGGGAGTAGCGGAAAGACTACAACTCCCGCCAGGCGCCGCTGCGGCCAGCGGGGCTGGGAGGGAGGGCGGGCGGGGGGCGGAGCGGGTAAATAGTGGCACCGCGCACCCGCTTCGCGTAAGATGGCGGCGGCCGGAGCGGCGGAGCTGTGAGCGGGGTGCGCGGCAGGCGGACGCGCGCTCGCCCCTCCTTCTCCTTCGCCGCCACCACCTCTGTGTTGCGGCTCTTGCCGCGGGCCGTGGAGCTGCGGTGAAGGGGAAGCCCGAGCCTGCGCGTCTCGGCGCCGGCCGGTCTTTGACAGAGGCGGGCGGCGCTGGTGGCAGCCGCGGGCGCGGAGCGGTGCCGCCTCAGGTGGAGCCCGCCGCTCCCGTCCCTTCGGCAGGAGGAGGCTGCGGCTGCTGTGGGTGGCGACCGCTTCGGCTTTTCCCTGCTCGGCGGTGGCTGCGGCTCCAAGGGTCTCCATGTCGGACAACCAGAGCTGGAATTCCTCCGGCTCCGAGGAGGACCCCGAGACTGAGCTCGGGCTGCCTGTTGAGCTCTGCGGGGTGCTCAGCAAGGTAAGCCTCCTCCCCGCAGCCCTCGGCCTCTCGCTTCCCCTCTCCGTGCTCTGGCGCCTCCCAGCTTCGCGGCTGTCAGCCCCGTCCCCCCTCTCCTGCCCGCTCCGGAGGATCAGGCCGAGGAGCCGGTGGAGGGGCCTGACGCGGGGAGGGGGGGCCGGGAGGCTCCACGGGAGGCGCTGGCACGGCCGGGGCAGCCGCCACCTGACGGCGGGGAGCCTGCCAGCCAGCCGCCGCCAGTCGCCCGCGCCCCCTCCTCCCTCAGCCGCCGGCACCGGCACATCCCCGCCGCCGGGCCCCCCCCCCCCCCCCGGCATGCTGCTGCCCCCTCTGCCGGCCCCGGCCCGCAACCTGAGGCTGCCGGTCCCACAGGCTCATCCGCAGGCACCCCCTCCCGCTGGGCCGCCCCTCCCAAG